TTATATATATATATATATATATATAACATTTGTTAGAGAAAAAGGATCACCACTCCTTGGTTGAAGTTGTAACTAGCTTTCCATTGCAAGGCTGATTTTTGCACATCACAACCTTCATTCCCCCATCTCTATCCCTAAGAATTGATCCTTTCTACTTGTGACTCTACATTTAGGGTTTGTGACCACAGGATAATTTTTTCAGCAATGAATGAGGTGAATTGGAGAAGCCATCTCTAAGATGTAGGATTTTTAAAAAATACAGGTAGAGTTCTTGGTATATCTTCTTGTTTTGGTCATACCATATCTCAGAAATAATTGGCCCCAGAAACATCCCTTTTGTTATATTCAAGAGTCATTACACTCATTTACACCAGGTGTGTTTTGGTCCCAGGTCTGTAGCTTTTTCTCTTGATAAGATGGTCTTCAAACTGCAAACTAAGCATGTGTATTGTTAGGTGTGGTGCTTATTCTTAAATAAATGTAGGGGTAGACATCAGATTCTCCATGCACACTCCACCATTAGCAGCTCTGTTCTTGTGTGCCAGCCTCAGCCTGTGGCAGCCAGAGATCCTAACTCCGGACCTGATAATGCCCCCATGATTCATGACCCACAGAGGGGAACCACCACACAAGAATGTGATGTATTTTTTGCGGAGGTGGGGTGAACCTTCAGAACATCTTCCACTTTCTCTGGAGCCCATGTGATCCACACATCAGGAGAGGAGGGCCAGTGGTGAGGCTGAGGGAGAGATAGACATGGTCTCCCTCCCCCCCAATGCACAGGATGCAATGAAATCCCAATGAAAGATGATAGAGCCCCAGGCTAATGTGAGCTACAGGTAACCCCACTGTATCTCAGAGTACTTCCTGAGCTAACCAGTGGCAGTGCCAGAGTCACTGCAGCAATTGTATTAGGCAATTTCAACTTCTGCACTGATTGTGGCGCTTCTACATTAGCCCAAGATTCCACAGCCACCAACCACAGCAATAGCACTAGCCCAGGGACAGTCTGGCTCAACACCTATAGTTGGATGCATTCTGGATTTTGTCTTTGGCCTGGGATTGGAGGTGGATGTTACATGCTCGCTACAGTGGGGGTTATCAGTGCTACCCTAGTGGCATCAGAGAGGCCTTTCCCTGGCCATCCACCCAGCAATAAAAGGTTCCTGGATACTATCCCAGCAAGACAAAGGTCCTGAGCCACTAACCCTGGCAGAGGACTTTGCCTTCACATCACACCAGCAAGCTAGAGTTGCCAAGCCTGTGATGTCACAGAGGTCCAGGCTTTCACAACAGCCTTAAAAGATGGGGATGCTAGAGCCAAGACCTCATCAGAACCTGTGCCTTCAGTCAGGGGTGGCTCCAGGCTCTAGTGCAGCCAGGGAGCAGGGCTGGGGCAAAGGAAAAGCTACAAGGCTGATTGGGGAAGCAGCCGCAGCTGGGCCATGCCCCAATCAGGCCCCAGCTGGCCTGTATAAGAAGGCTGGGAGCCAGGCGCTCAGAGTTTTTCTCTGCATTCAGAAGGAGAAGGGCCTGGCTGCAGTGAGCTAGACACAGGGTACCTGAGTGGAGCAGGGCTGGGGAAAGGCTGAGGAGCTGGGGAGCTCCAGCCTGGATAGCCCCAGGCTGCGACCTAGTAGGAGGCTAAGGGGTACTGGGGATTGCAGAGGGCAGCCCAGGGCTAGGCCAAGGCAGCAGCCCAAACCCTCCTTGCCAGTGATGAGTGGCCTATACTGCAGTCTGCCCCAGGGAGCGGGGGCTAGTTGGTGACTGGCAGTGGCCTTATCCTGAGGTGAGGTAGGGATAGTGGGTGGGGGTTCCCCAGGGAGGGGAGACCCAGATCTGTGGGGTACTGCTGGGGGGCAGCATCCCAGTAATAGGGGCACTGGGTCCTGAGAGGGACACGGGCACCAGAGGACGACAAGTCGGATCACCGGCCTGCAGAGAGCGCTCCAGAGGCTGGTGAGCTAATTCCTTGGATGACCAGCAGGAGGCGCCGCAGGGGTGAGTCCGGACGTCTACAGGGCGGCAGTCAGGCTGCCTTCGGCGGCATGCCTGCGGGAGGTCCGCTGGTCCCGCGGCTTCAGCAGTAATTTGGCAGTGGGTACGCCGATGGCCCCGGTCCGGCAGATCACCCGCAGAAATGCCGCTGAATCCCGGTGACCAGCGGACCGCCCACAGGCGTGCAGCTGAAGGCAGCCTGACTGCCATGCTTGGGGCAGCAAAAAACATAGAGCCACCCCTGCCTTCAGTTCACCCAGCCAGCTAGAGGTGCTGTGCTAGTGACTTCACTGCAAGAGACTGGTGATCATTTGTAGGGAGTTTTCAGAAATTTACCTTTACGGAAGAGAATTTTCCCAAATGTTCCATGAGTTTTGGAGGATTTCTCTTTCATAGCTTTGAAGCTGCTCTTCTCTGCAACAGTCTGAATCTCTTCCTCACTCAGGGAGAACCCAAAGAAGTCAGCTATTTTTTTCAGTCCTAACATCAGATTCTGAAAAAAAGGAAGATAAGAATGAATATTATTGAAATAACATTCCATTTGGATCTCACCTGTGGAGTGATTATAACAGTATCTCTGAAGGTTTCGTACTTTCACAGAGCAGAATTACGGTGAAAAATCTGCGACTACTTCCTTTTGCATCACTGAGGAACTCTAAGAGGTGTAACTTCCAGGCAGGGTCTAAACAGTGGGCCTTGTCCAGAACTCCTCACTCATGCAAGTAGGATACTTTGGCTAAATGAAGAGTGGGGTCTGTACTTTTTATATGTAGCTGTGCATAATAATAATAATAATACCTAGCACTTTTGAGCACATGATTGAGTCCAGAGAGTTTGTATCTGTTAATATTCATAGACTTCAGGTGTGCTGAAGCAAAGGGCATTGCTAAGAAATGTGTAAATAAGGATATGTATGAATATAGAATTCTGTACCCTTCACACACCAAATGATGGTGCATTTTGACAGATACAACAGTGAGCTCAAAGAGCTGTTCTAAGGGGATTTGACAATAGTGGTCATAAAAATAATAAGAGGGGAAAACAAGGAGAATCAAATAAGGTAATCAAATAAGGCACACAAAAAAAAGAATTTGCAGAACTTTTCATCCAGAATCAGGATGAAAGGCCAAAAATTAAAATTCTGCAATATTTTGTTTCAGAAATGCTGAAAAGTTCATATATAGCAGTGGCTCACAACCTTTCCAGACTACTGTACCCCTTTCAGGAGTTTGATTTGTTTTGGGTACCCTCAATTTATACCTCACTTAAAACCTACTTGCTTACAAAATCTGACAAAAAAATTCAAAAGGGTTACAGCACACTATTACTGAAAACTTGCTTACTTTCTCATTTTACCATGTAATTATAAAATAAATAAATTGGAATTTAAATGTATAGTATATAGAGCAGTATAAACAAGTCATTGTATGAAATTTTAGTTTGTACTGACTTCGCTAGTGTTTTTTATGTAGCCTGTTGTGAAAGTAGGCAAATATCTAGATGAATTAATGTACCCACTGGAAGATTTCTGTGTAACACCAGGGGTACACATACCACTGGTTGAGAACCACTGCTATAGTGGAAATGTTCTGGTGTTTCCAAAATGAAATATGATCGCTGGGATACCCAGCAGATCACCTGCCAGGCAGGCAGCCTGGTGAGCTGGCCAGCCAAGGAATCCAGTAGCCCAGGGAGCTAGGGAGTCAGGTGCTCAGGGAGTCTAGGAGCCCACCCGCCTGCCTGTCCATTCATCAAGCAGGCATATCTGAGAGACAGCCACCCAGACTCCTGATAGTTTAGGGAGCTGGGGAGCCTGGAAGCCCAGCTCTGCAACTACTCACCAGACGGGCTGCCAAGGAGCCTGGCTGCTGAGGAACAAGGAGCCTGAAAGCTCGGGACAACCCCAGCTCCACCACTGAGGCTGCCAAGAAGCATGGGAGCAGAGAGGTGGGCAGGCGGGTGAGCTAGCAGGAAAGCAGGCAGGCAGGATGGCCAGTTGGCCAGCCTGCCTGGTTTCCATTGAAAGTATTGAAGCAATCTACATGTTCCCACAGAACACGTAGAGTCCATCGAATCAGCATTTTCTGTTGGAAAGCTGACAACCTCTTAGAGAGACCGAGAAAGAGAGATTGCATTAGGATTTTTTTTAAATAGATTTAGTGGGGGGCCAAGGTACCACACTGCAGGCACTGAAGAAATTAGATCACCCTGTTTTTATTTTATTTTTTAAAATCATCTCCAAAATGGTAATTTGCAGCAAGGTTTCTAGGAAAAAATCTATCCTACCCTATGTCACAGCTGTAAAATTTCAGGTGAATTTATTTCAGTTTAGCAAGGTTGGGTGTTGGGATCATAATCAGACTGAAAACTGAACACGTTTTCCCCACCGAAACTATTATACAAGTTGTTAGCGTTTCCCCATGGTCACTCTCCATATGCTTTGTGGTAGCTGGACATAATAGGAAGGCATGCTAAAGACAGCCTTGACTTAGAAATGGAAATTGTTATTAGATGGCTTTGTGGATTTTGTCAGTGCTTCATACACTTCATGTTACTATAATTTAGGTTTTAATGCAATATGTAGAATATAATCCCATCCAGCTCACTCATGTGTGAGATTTGGAGAAGTCCACATTGGTTACAGATGGCCATATCTTATTGTCCTCCATTTTGGCAAAATTTCCCACTAAAGACAATTAAAGTTTTGACTGAGTTAGGACTGAAAAACTTGGCCGGTTTTATTGTGAAGATGATTGGTCTGAGTTTCAGAGATGCAGTGCACCCACCCCCCAGCGAAACCAGTGGGAACTGTAGATGCTCAGTATTTTTGAATATTAAGCCACTGGCTCATGTTGACAGTATATATTAAAAAAATCTTACAGCTAAATGAAGGCCTGGTGTAAGTGGGTGCAAATCCATGGAAAGATAACGGTGTTACACCTGCTTACAGCAAGGCTGATGTTGCCTCTTGGTAATCATTTCCCCATGAAGTGGATACTGTTAGATGTAGGCCTTATTCATTCCAAAGTCTGTTTGTTCCTAGATCTATGAATTCATGTTTCTTGGCACAGAGGGTGAAATTCCATCCTACTCAGAGGTCTGAACTAGGTCTATATGACATTTGCATCTGACTTATTTCTTCATAGGGTTTAAGTAGAGCTGGTTAAAAAATTTCCACTGAAACATGAGGGTTTTTTTATAAAATGTGGCTTTTTGATTAAATGTTCATGAACATTTCTGTTTTGTCAGTTTCTGTCAAAAACAAAATGAATTGTATAGGCCTTGCATGGGCTTAGTGGCTGTGTTATCATTAGCTATGCACTATTTAGGTATGAAGTAAAGATTCCTTTAAACAGCATTAACCTCACCTCTTTCAGCTCTTCATAGGTTATCGCCATAACATTTTCATCAGCCACATGCTTGTTCCATTCAACTAAATAATCAAAATAGGAGCCCCGGCATACTTGAGGGAAAAAAACAGAATCAGAATGATTCAATAATAATGAGGCAAAGGTGAATTGAGACAGGGGACATGGACTCCTTTTATAGGTTTAGGCTGACTACATGGTGTCAGACAAGGTTTTGAGGTGAGGACTACAGTAACACATTTTGCCACTGCTCCTCTGAACAGAAGCAATAAGTGTTCCTTCCATCTGACAGCTAGTACTGGCCACTAATGGAAGAGCACACATCTGCTAAGTGCAAACGACTAAACACCCTCATAACCACCTTAGGGACATAGCATACAAGCTGGAAAGCTAGCCAGCTGAACATTCCAGCACCACTCCTTTTTGCCAGGGAGACATCCTGTCTGACCGCTGACTGGGTCGAAAAGGAGTCTTTCCTTTGCACTGATCCCAACTACAGCTGGGTGAGTGATGGATTTTTTTGGTACAGACACTAAACTAAAAAAAATAAAAAACAATCATTTGATTTGAACCAATAACAATTTTTTTAAATTTTTTAATAAAAAAAGTATAAAAAAAATTGGTTTAGAAGCAACGAAAATGTTTCACTTGACTCCAAACAAATTTTATTTTGAATTATTCACTTTGATTCAGACGTTTTAGGTGCTTTTCACCCTTTTTTGTGGTAATTTAAAAGTGAAGTGCCATTTTGAATAGAAAAGTTGAACAAAATATTTCAAAATGAAACGATTCAGAAAGATTGAAACAAAATGTTTCCTGTTTAGAAATTTTGTTTCTAAAATTAGAAAATTTCTAAAATTACAAAATTTAAATTCTAAAATTTAGTTTCAAAGAAAATTATTTATCAAATTCAACCTGAAATCAGCAAACATTTTTGGCCCCCCCAAAAACAATTAGTTGAAAACATTTTGCTCACCTCTATTCCCAAGAATTTTAGCCTTCGACCCAGTAAATGAATTCAGCTTATGCATCGATTAGCAGAAAGAAAAGTTATAGGGTGAAGTTGTTTTGAGTGGAAATATTGGATTTGGATTTCTAGGCCACCATGCTTATGTCTATTTTAGTAAGTATTAGCATAGTTGGTAATATAATTCATATTTAATTTCCTAAACCTGTGTTTCAGATTATATAAGATTCAGGGTAATGGTGGTCAGGCCATAAAAGCTTACATGACTTATTCAAGATCACAGAGGGAGTCAGTGTCAGTGAATAAATTATCTCTTGATTTCAGGAGTCAGTCTGATTTCAATTACATCATTTATAAATCTAGAATAACTTTAAGACCAAGAAGTTTTTCTTGAATTATAACAATACAACTGAGATCAGAATCTGCCCTAGGTCTTCCCAGTGCCCAGTTTTGCCAATGCACTAATTAATCAGAATAGCTTCAGAAAAACAGTGTACTTTTTCCATGCATAAAAGCTGCAAAATACTCATCCCATGAGCCGAAGGAGGGAAGTGTAGGCATATTGTTGTGAAAATGGAAGTAAGATACAGCGGTGTCTTTTGGATTTCGAACCAGCAGCAGTATCTAAAAAACATAAGTAAATGAATTATTTGTTTAAAGGTTGAAAGTCAATACAAAAACGTTTGTACTTTTCCTAGCACAAAGAGCACTATGGTAATACAAATAATTAACAATAATTAGGTAAGAAAAAGTTTATATTTAACAATCACAGCATCAGTAGAATCAGTTTAATTAATTTTGCCTTATTTGAAAAATAAGGAATGGATAAGCTCATTAGCAGGAGATTTCTGCTGAAATGATAGCAGAGAAACAGTAAACATTTAAATTGTCAGCATTAGGTTTCGGTATTCATGCTGAATGGGGCCAGTTTACTCCCAGCCTAAAGCTATTCTTTCAGCTGTTTGCTGTCCCAGTACATAACACTGTATCAGTTCACATGCAGAAAACTTATCTTCACAACCATAAAACCTAGATGGAATCATAGAAAACACAAGGCCCTGCATATAACATAGAAGAAATCCAAACGGGTCTGAAAATGCCATTACAGTGGGTATTTTCTACGATACTGTAAATGAGGACTCACCTTGGCCTTGCTTTTGAAAATAGATTTCGGCAGGACTTGAGGAAGGAGATGTGTTGTTATGATTCTTCTGAAAGGTAATTCCTTCATCCTCTTTAAATAGAATTGGAAAGAAACATAGAATTAAATAGCCTCTTTAATATAATTTTATCATTTTAAGAACTATCTGTTTTTTTTAAAAAGTAGACTTAGCAGGAAATAATATTTCTTTTCTGCCAATCCAGAGGGTGACTATTTCACTACCATTAATATACAGCAGAATCTAAGACAAATTAGCATTAATTTTTCCAAGGCCTTCTTGAATCTCTCATTTCTTTCAAACTTTAACTACCATGCTCCCAATTATTAATGTTCCTTTAATTCGCTCTAATGAATGTGGCCCCATGTATGTTGCTCCTCCAGAGGAAATACTGTGCAAGACCCTGTTCTAACAGTATTTCCAGCCTGACTAGAAATAGGGGGCCTGTTCTTTTGAAATGTCCAGCTGAGTTTAGGCAGAACCAGTGATACTCATTATCTAATGGCTGACAATAAGCACTTCTCCAGGACCTCTTAGACATTCAGATAAACAGAACTAGCAAACCACTCTGCAATAGCATGACTCCCAGTAAGGGTGCATCTGATGGCATCTGGTGGCTTTGTGCCCTAGCAGATGGATAAAGCAGTACTGGTATTCAGGAGACCTGAGTGTTTGTGTGCAAGTCATTTCTCCACTCTGTGCCTCAGTTTTACCTTCTGTAAAAGGGGGATAATGATACTTACCTCCTTTGTAGCTTTGAGAGCTACTGGTTAAAAGTGCTATATAAGAGCAGGGTATTATTATGT